ACACCCAGTGATGCACAGGGGTTACTCCTGGCTCATGCACTCAGGAATTACTCCTGGCGGTGCTCGGGGGATCCTATGGGATGCTGGGAATCGAACCCGGGTCGGCCACGTGCAAGGCAAACGCCCTATCCGCTGTGCTATCGCTCCAGCCCCACATGTCTGTTTCTTTACCCACTTTCAGCATGCAGTTCTTATTCAGAGTGATCATTTCCAGCTATCATTGTCATGGTGGTCCCTTCTCTATCCCAACTGCCTTCTCCCCCAGCACTTAAGTCAGGCTTCCAACCGTGGACCAATCCTCCTGGCCCTTGTTTCTGCTGTCCTTGGCTATTAGTCTCCTACTATGTTTTTTAATATCATATAAATATAGAGTGCAAGCATTCTGTATCTGAACTTCTCCTTCTGACTTGTTTCACTCAGCATGATACTCTCCATGTCCATTCTTTTTTTTATTTTAAAATTTGATTTGCATACTCACAATGATTGGATACATTCAATATTTCAACATCAATCCCATGACAATTAAACTTTCCCACCACCATTCTTGCTTGTTATGAATAGTATGAGATGTCTGTAAGGATCTATCTCACAGTGATTGAGTAAAAAGGAAGAAAAAAGTGGCTGTGTGCTCCTGCAATTCTAAAATTTTAAACAATTGGGGTCCGGAGACATCTTTGCAGCAAGTAGCTCTGTTCCATGATTCATTTATGAGTCTCTGGATCCGGGTCGTTAAATGGGCTTAAATGGTGTCTGGAGGCAGTTCGTGGGCGTGACAACCAGGACACCGGAAGGGCGGGAAGATGGGAAGGGGCAGCCCGGTCCAGCTCCTTGAGGCCTGGAATTTTCAGTCACTGGTCCTGCGTAACTGGGTTTTTTAGCAGTTTCATTCATTCTTTTGCCTGGGGCCCTCAGGACCAGCCTGTGAAGATTGGCTGCGAGGGTGGCAGTGATTGGGTTCTGGAGGCTTGTGCCACTGGGGTTCATTTGCAGCAGGCAAGGAACAACGCCTGCTCCCATCTGAGACCCCCCCCCCCCCACACACACACGTGAAATCAGCCTGGCGCAAGGTCTGGAGACATTTCTGCAGCGAGCTGCTCTGTTCTGAGATTCATTTGTGAGTCTCCATGTCCATCCATTTTTAAGTGAATTTCATGACTTTTTTTTCCTAACAGCTGTATAATATTCCATTGTGTAGATGTACCATAGTTTCTTTAACCAGTTGTATGTTCTTGGGCACTCGGGTTATTTCCATCTTCTGGCTATTGCTGCAATGAACAAAGAAGTGCAGATGGCATTTCTGCTGTGTTTCTGCACCCCTGGGGAATATTTCTGGAAGTGGTATTACTGGGTCATATGGAAGCTCAATTTCTGGTTTGTTGAGGAATGCCCATACTATTTATCAAAAAGGTTGGACCAACTAGTATTACCATGAATAATGAAGGAGAGTCCCTTTCTCCCCACATTCGTGCCTGTTCTTTTTGATGTGCACAGGGCTTATTACTGGCTCTGCACTTGGGGATCACTCCTGGTGGTGCTCAGGGATCATATGGGGTGCTGGGATCTAACTCATGCTCACCGCATGCAAGGTAAGCCCCCTCCCTGCTGTACTATGGCTGCAGCCCCAGGTGATTCCAAATTGGGACATAATGGCGGGGTGCTTCCTGAGGTTCTGGGTCTGAACCCCCATTCTTCCCCTCTTCTCTTGCCTGAGCCTCAGTTGCCTCAACTGTAAAACAGAGACACCAAGTTATCTTGCTTATTGTAGATATTAAACTTGAAACACTTTGTGGTGTGTGTGTGTGTGTGTGTGTGTGTGTGTGTGTGCACGTGCGTGTGTGCAGCATACAGCCAACAGTGCCCAGGGATTACACCTGGCTCTGTGCTCGGGGGTCACTCCTGGTGGGGCTCCATTGCCCTACATGGCAACCCCATGTGGGTTGCCAGGGATGGAACCTAGATTGGCCACATCGGACGCAAGCACCTACTCCCTGTAGTATTTCTTTGACCCAAACACGAAGTATTTGCATGTCTCCAGGCATCCAGGAAGCTCTCCGCAGTGCACCCCAGAACATTCCATGCTTTCTAGGGGCTGGTAGAGCCATAGAAGACCCACTCGCTCTCCCTGACAGGTGTCCCAGCAGAGCCCTGTTCAGATGGAGGCCAGGGGCTGCAGAGATATTTCGAGCACTGAGGTGCTTGGCTCACCTGCGGCTGAGGCAGTGTCCCACCTCACAGTCGCCCAGCAGGAGCTGGGAGAAGCCCTTGAACACCGTTGGGTGTGACCCCAGAGCTCCCAACACCAAAAGACCAGATGCCAGCCACAGGGAGCGTCTTTGAGGAGGTGACAGTAGGGCGTCAGGGGCTAGCTCGGTGAGGGGAGAGGGAGCCCGGAATCTGGCGCGTGGGGCTCCTGAGGCTGCACGTGCATCCTGAGTATCACAGGGAAAGTGGTCCTGATGGTGAAGGCAGGGCGGGGTTCCCAAAGGAGCTCCTGGAGTTCCTAGGACGCGCGGGGTGAGCATGGGGTGAGCGCAGCGTAGGGTGGCAGGCTGGAAGGGGGCGTCGCTGTTGGGGTCTCGTGAGGGGAAGGGGTAGGAACCCACCGGGTGCGCCTCCGGCTGCAGGAGCTGATGGGCGGGGCGGGGTTGGGGCTCTGCCCACCAGGCCCCGCCCACAAGACCCCGCCCTCCACGCCCCGCCCCCTGTGAGCATCCTCTGGGCGTCAGTTTCGATGCTGTCCTTGACCCCTCAGCCAGGGTCGCGGGAAACCCAGAGCTACTCCATTCCTGGTATCCTGGCCTCATCCTTACCTGTGGACAACCTTTTCCTCACTCTGCCTCCACTACCTGCACCTGTGCTCATGAGTTCTGAATTTTGATTTTTTTTTTTTTGCTTTTACCTTTTTGGGTCACACCCAGCGATGCAGCGATGCTCAGGGCTTACTCCAGGCTCTGCACCCAGGAATCACTCCTGGTGGTGCTTGGGGTACCATACGGGATGCCGGGGAGTGAACCCGGGTCAGCTGTGTGCAAGGCAGACATCCTACTCACTGTTCTATCGCTCTGACCCCTTGGTCTTGAGGTTGCATCCAGCGGTGGGGACTGTGTGGTGTCCAGGAGCGAGCCTGGGGCTCCCTCATGCCACGCAGGCACTCTAGCCCTGTCAGTCGTGCCATTTTTCACTGAATCTGCCCTGAAGTCTGGCCTCAGACACACCACCTGCCTCTGAGCTCAGCCTTCTGCCTCTCAGACTTCCTGGAATGTGCACACAAAGCAGCTCTCAGCCCAGTGACCGTCTTCCTTGCACGGTTCTTTTGATTTTTTTCTTTTTACTAAAATCTGGTTGGTTGGTTGGTTGGTTTGGGGGGCACACCAGACTATGATCAGGGCTTACTCCTGGCTCTGTGCTCAGAGATTATTCATGGTGGTGCTCGAGACCATATGTGGCGCCAGAGATTGAATCTGGGTTGGCTGTTATTAAGGCAAAAGCCCTAGGCACTGTGCTATCTCTCTGGCCCAGTTCTTTGAAAATAACAGACCTAGTTTGTAGTTCATGAGCTTTATATTAGTAGTGTATAAAGACACCCCACCTTCTCCTTTGCCATAAGGAGGGAGGAAACCGTAACCATACCCATGTGCTCTGTGCATATGGTCAGCCTGCCTGCCTTCTTCCCTCCCTCCCTCCCTCCCTCCCTCCTTCCCTCCCTCCCTCCCTCCCTCCCTCCCTTCCTTCCAGTACACCCAGCGATGCTCAGGGCTTGCTCCTGGCTTTGCACTCAGGAATCTCTCCTGGTGGAGCTGGGGGGACCATATGGACTGCTGGGGATTGAACTCGGGTCAGCCACATGCAAAGCAAGTGCCCTCCCCATTGTCCCCTCTCCGGGCCCTCGGGTTTCTCCTCGGTAATCAGTCCCCCGTATCTTTGTGAATGGTCATTGTGTCTTAGTGGAGGCCGTGGGAGGGAAAGGGACCCTCCTTTGATTTTCATTCGTTCTACTGTGTTTCTGTTCTTAAAGTGAATGAGCCGCCCTTCTTGAGAGAGAGCTTGTGGGGTTCCACAGACCCCGCGGCAAAGCGGACAGCGGGTCCTCCACTCTGACCTGCGACCTGGGGCTCTCGGGACCCCCCGCCCCCTGCAACCCCTGCCCACCATGGCAGAAAGCTTTATTTATTTATTTTGCTTTTTGGGTCACACCAGGCAATGCTCAGGGGTTACTCCTAGCTCTGCACTCGGGAATTACTCCTGGCAGTGCTCAGGAGACCATATGGGATGCTGGGAATCAAACCTGGGTTGGCCTCGTGCAAGGCAAACGCCCTACCCGCCGTGCTATCACTCCAGCCCCCTGAGAGCTTTACTTCTGACCCGGGCCACTGTGTGCCCTGGCCTCATGGCTTAACCCCACACGAGCAGCACCTGGTCCTCGGGGAGGGCAGGAGTGTCTGTAGCTGTCTCACTGGGCAGGAGCAAGGTGCGGGCAGGGCCGTCTTGGGCTGCAGAGGAGAGCTTGCAGCTGCCGGAGGGACACACACACACACACACACACACACACACACACACACACACACACACACGGCAGCTCTTCCCCCACAGGGTGTCTGAGTCAGTCTACGGAGTCCAGCTCTGCCCTGGAGGACAGTCCCAGGCTCAGCCTGGCCTTGCTTCTGTTTTTGGTGTTTGTTTTGTTTTGGGGACCACACCTGTCGGGGCTCAGGGCCTACTCCTGGCTCTGTGCTCAGGACCTGCTCCTGACTCTGTGCTCAGGGCCTACTCCTGGCTCTGGTGCTGCTCTGGGGCCCCTTTGGGGTGCTGGGGATTGCATCTGGGTCAGCCGAGTGCAAAGCGAGCACCTCAACCCCGGTGTGTCTGTCCGGCCCCGCACACCCCAGACAGCTGGCATCCACGGGGCTCCAGTGAGGTCGGGGGCGTCTTTAGGGCCCATCGCTCGGTCTGTGCTGGTCGCCCGGTGTTGCAGTGATGCCTTGTCTTCGCTTTCCTCGCAGAGACTTGCTGTGCGACTCAGGAGCGGCACCTAGGATGGGGGACATTCTGGCTCATGAATCTGAACTGCTTGGACTCGTGAAGGAGGTAGGCATGCCGCCATGTGCGCGACAGCTTGTGAAAGACTGCTGTTTTACTGGTTCTATTTTCCGTGTCAATTTTTTCACACGTCTGTATTTTGTTTTTATAACTAAATTGAAATCTGGAAGTCACTTAAAAAATGACTGTTGGCGGGGGAGAGGGGTTTGGGCTCACCTGGCTGTGCTCAGTCAAAGACAGTTCCAGGCTCTGTGCTCAGAAGTGACCCCCGGCCTTGGAGTCACCATGTGTGATGTTGGGGACTGATCCCAGGGCAGCAGAATGCCTTAACCCTGTACTTTCTCCCTGGTCTAAAGTTTTGGTTTTTTATTTATTTATTTTTTTTCTTTTTGGGTCACACTTGGTGATGCACAGGGGTTACTCCTGGCTCTGCACTCAGGAATTACTCCTGGCAGTACTCAGGGGACCATGTGGGATGCTGGGAATCAAACCTGGGTCGGCTGTGTGCAAGGCAAACGCCCTACCCGCTGTGCTATCTCTCCAGCCCCTCAAGTTTTAATTTATTATTATTATTATTTTATTATTTGCTTTCTGGGTCACACCCGACGATGCACAGAGGTTACTCCTGGCTCATGCACTCAGGAGTTACTCCTGGCAGTGCTCGGGGGACCATATGGGATGCTGGGAATCGAACCCAGGTCAGCCACGTGCAAGGCAAACGCCCTACCTGCTGTGTGCTATCACTCCAGCCCCTCAAGTTTTAATTTAAAAAAAATTTAATTTCGTATTTTGGTTTTGGGGTCACACCCAGTCATGCTCAGGGGTTACTCTTGGCTCTGCACTCAGGAATTACTCTTTGCGGGGCTCTGGGGACCATATAGGGTGCTGGGGATCAAACGTGGGTCTGTAGTGTTTGGGCAAGCACTGTACCCGCTGTACTGTCAGTCTGGCCCCATATTTACTGTCTGAAATAAACGTTTCCCATGAGCCTGTCTTTCTAGACTTTCGGTGTCCCGATGGTTAAGAGCTTGCTAAGCTGGGTCCCCAGTTACTGTCTGAAAGAGGAGGGCACATTGGCCCCCTGTGACAAGCCTATGATGGGGGCCAGGTGCGGGGGTATCAGAGACGGTGGACATGGACATTCACGTTTCCTTGAGAAAAATGAGGATATTTTCACTCAGGTTCACCCTGTTGCCGTTGAAACAGAGACTTAAGGTGTGTGCCTGTATGGGTTTTTGTTATTATTTACAGTATTTAGATTTTGCTGAATTTGAAGACACCCTGAAGATATTCTCGAAGGAATGTAAAGTCAAAGGGAAGCCGCTGTGCAAGGCGGCGGGCGGCGCCACGAGGGACTCCCGGCCGCTGGTCATCCAGGTAACGTTCTGCTCGTGACTGTCCGTGGGTACGGAAAAGGTGCCCAGCTCTGCAGAACACTGCCGGGAGGGGGTCTGGGGCCTGGGGATCCAGTTCCCACACACTTCGGTGGCCTTTTGGGCGTGCAGGGGCGGGGGGTGGGTGGGTGTTTGCAGTGTCCTTGGAGTGGGGAGACACACCGGGTCAGACCTCTCTCCGGGGGCAGCCAGAGAGGGTGAGCATGGAGGCCGGAAGGGGGCGTCCCCGCTGCATCTTGTGGGCTGAGGATCGGGGGACCCGCCCCTCTACCCCCACACACAAGGGCAGTAGCTGGCTCAGCAGGGCACTCCCAGGGAGTCAGGGGGGCCCTTGGGTGGAGTGACCCCCTGCCAGGACAAGTCTGAGGAGCAGAGTCCAGGCCACTGCGGCCCGTCTACTCCTGTCTCCAGCACTCCCACTGCCCTGGGCACCACGTGTGGGACCCCCGGGGGCGGCACCAGGTGCTCTGTGCCCCTTGGGCCCCAGGTATCTGCTGGCTGTGCTGTGGCCATCAGATCTCAACTCCTCTGAGCCCCACGGTGGCCCTGGGGAACCCTCCACTTCCGGAGCAGACGCGCCAGGCACCCCCATGTCCAAAGCAGACACCCCAGGACACCCCCAGGTCTGGAGCAGACCTCTGGGCACAGGCCCCAGGTCCTCGCGGGGCATTGGCTGTGCTTCTCTGAGCATGCGGTTTGTTCTCTGGGAAACTGGCCTTAAGCGTGGACACTCACAGATTGTTGCTGCTTCCTTGGGGTGCAGGGGGGAAGTGACCCCTGCCACCTGCCCACAGGGCCTCCAGCATCTCTTGAGAGCCCCCTGAGCAGGTAGATGCCACCTCGTAGAACACCCACAAGCCCGTGTCCGGAAGCTTCTCTGCGTGTGGGAACGTCTCGGCACGCCTGTCGCATGGTGCCACCAGGGGACAGTTCCATTTTGTAGTGCTGGTAGGCTTGGTTATAAACAAGTGAACTGTGATACCTAAAACAACACGGGCAAAGCATAAGAACCTTAAAAAGGTCAAAGAACAGCGGCCAAATGGTATGTGGACGAGCCGTAGAAAATCTGCCTCTGAACTTGAACGGTCGCCCTGGGCTTTGGGGCCTCGGTGTGGAAGGAAGACAGGACACCGCTGACCCAGGCACGGGCAGTCCCCCACCACCACCCCACCGCCTGCCTCCCGCATCCGCAGGGCTGTGTTCCCCCCCCCCCCTTGATTCTCTGGAAGGTTCTGGGAGTGGAGAGGCCATTCTGCCCTCCAGCAGGCCTGTGACAGGCCTGTCACTTTCTTTCTGTGACAGGCGGCCCTGGCTGAGCCGGGGAGCGGCCGGGTCTCCCCCGACGTGTGGCTCACACCCTGTGCCCAGGGGACCGGGGCTCTCTGCAGGCAGGGCCACCGCGTCATGGCCCGGGTCTCACCCCTGCTGCTTCCTGACACCTGGCGGCAGGTGCGGGGCTGCCCGTGCGAGCTGTCCTCACGGTGGGCGCGGCCGCGTCTTCTCTACAGAGGGACCTGCTGGCGGCCTTCGACAGTGGGGACCAGAAGGTGTTCTTTGACCTGTGGGCCGAGCACGTGCCCCGTGCCCTGCGAGACGGCGACGCCCTGGCCCAGAAGCTGGAGTTCTACCTCCACATCCACTTCGCCATCTACCTGCTCAAGCACCACGTCGGGAGGCCGGTGGGTCTGAGGGCGTGGGGGAAGGGGAAGTGTTCACGCCTCTGCCCCAGGGAGCCTACAGTTAGGGTTTTGTTTGTGTTTGGGGGTCACGGCTGGCGATGCTCAAGGGTTATTCCTGGCTCTGCACTCAGGAGTCACTCCTGGCAGTGCTCGGGGGACCACATGGGTTGCCGGGGATTGAACCCAGGTCAGCTGCTTGCAAGGCAAATGCTGTACTATCCTGCTGTACTGTCACTCTGCTGTACTATCACTCTGGCCCCAGGATTTACTTTTGTGGCTTTTTTTTTTTTTCTGGCTCTCCTCAGCGCAAGGCAGCCTGTGTCCCAAGGAAGAGGGATTTTCTGCCTCGTTCCCAGCAGGCTGGTCCTAATCTATTTGGAGCATGTAACACTTTCTTTCTTTTTCCTCTTTTTTGTTTTTGTTTTTGTTTTTGTTTTTGGGCACACCTGGCAGTGCTCCTGGCTCTGTGCTCAGGGATCACTCCTGGTGAGAGTTGGAGGATCATGTTCGGTGCTGGGGATCGAACCCAGCTTCGGCCAACGCAAGGCAGAAACACCTTCCTGCTGTATTGTCACTTCTGGCCCCAGGAGCGTGCAGCGTTTCTGCTGTGAGGGTGACATCTTCGGAGGATGCCTCAGCATTTTGTAAACTCAGCAAGACTGCTGACATAGAGAGGCGTGTTTGGAAACTTGATATATAGACACGGATGTTCCAGTAGAGACAGTGGCGGGGCCCAGAGACTCTGGGTGGAGACATCAGCGGGGCACATGTGGCTTGTCTGCTGGTGGGCATCCATGGCAGTGCAGGGCTGATGGTGGAGGCTGATGGCAGTGCAGGGTTGCTGTCAGCACAGATGATGGCAGTGCAGGGCTGATGGTGGAGGCTGGTGACCTTCCATGGCTGGTGTCAGCTGGTGCTGATGGCAGTGCAGGGCTGGTGGCAGGGGACTCAGCCCGTGTGTTGAAAAGGACACCCAGGCCGGCCTCCAGTGGTCCTTGGGCTACGTGCTGTGGGCTGGTGGCTGCTTCCCACTTTGGTTCCGGCCTTGGACTTGGGTGAACCCAGTGACATGTCGGGGCGGGAGCGGACGCAGAAAGGAGAGACGGGGCGCGGGGCCCGGGGCACCCAGTAGGACCGTCAGGAGCCTCTGCCTTTCCTCACAGGACAAAGAGGAGCTGGATGAGAGAATCTCCTACTTCAAAGCCTACCTGGAGAGCAGAGGGGCGGCGCTGAGCCAGACCACCGAGTTCCTCCCATTCTATGCGCTGCCCTTTGTCCCCAACCCGAGGGCACACCCGTCCTTCAAGGAGCTCTTCCAGGTAGGGGACAGTATGACCGTGACATGCTGCTACAACAGGCTCCCCTGACGCCGGGAACACGACTCTGAGGTCGCGCTAGGATTTGCCAACCCAGAGGGCCCCACATTGTCCTCAGCTTAGAGGACCAAACCCAAGGCCGCCAGCATGTCATGCAAACGCTCCACCACGGATCTGCCTCCCAGGCCCACCTTTCCGGCTTGGGGCCACTCCTGGCAGTGCTCAGGGCTCACTCCTGGCTCTGTGCTCAGGGCTCACTCCTGGCTCTGTGCTCAGGACTCACTCCCAGCTCTATGCTCAGAGCTGTCTCCTGGCTCTGAGCTCAGGGCTGACTCCTGGCTCTGTGCTCAGGGCTCACTCTCGGCTCAGTGCTCAGGACTCACTCCTGGCTCTGTGCTCAGGGATGACTCTTGGCTCTGTGCTCAGGACTCACTCCTGGCTCTGTGCTCAGGGCTGACTCCTGGCTCTGTACTCAGGGCTCATTCCTGGCTCTGTACTCAGGGCTCACTCCTGGCTCTGTACTCAGGGCTCACTCCTGGCTCAGTGCTAGGACTCTCTCCTGGCTCTGTGCTCCGGGCTCACTCCCAGCTCTGTGTTCAGGGCTCACTCCTGGCTCTGTGCTCAGGGTTGACTCCCGGCTCTGTGCTCAGGGCTGTCTCCCGGCTCTGTGCTCAGGGCTGACTCCTGGCTCTGTGCTCAGGGATCACTACTGGCTCTGCATTCAGGGGTCTCTCCTGGTGGTGCTCAGGAATCTCTCCTGGCTCTGTGCTCGGGGGTCTCTCTTGGCAGTGCCTGGGGACCATGTGACTGGACCATGGCTGCCGTGTGAGGGCACGGGCCTTAATCCCGTGCTCACTCTCCACCCCGGGTGTCTCTGGGGGTTTCTGCTCCTCCCTTCCGCCTCTGCCCCCAGGCCTGTGACACGTCCCTCCAGTGCACACGCCCTCCCTCTCTTCCACTGGGTTTCTCTCTGTCGGCGCCCCTGCACCCTGGTAGGAGAGATCACTTTCACACATGGCGCCAGTCCTGGTTTCAGCTGGGGAGACAGGCTGTGAGACCTCAGCCGGGCCATGGTGTCAGGGCCTCGGGGTGCCAGGAGAGGGTGGGGTGGGGGCTTCCCATGACGGGGGAGGGGTCGGGGGGCTGCAGCTCTTTCCTGTGGCGCTTCATGTGCCAGAGAATGGTCCAGGCCCGGAGACGACCCCGTGCTCACTCGAGTGAAGGGGCTCCTCAGATAGATGGGCCTACAGACAGACATACCCTCCCATGACCCCCGGGGACACTCTTCCAGCTGGCCAGGGAGCAGGTACTGCCCGCTGAGGACAGGGCGGAGGGCTGGGGGAGGGGCTGGCCTCGGTCTGTGTTGTGTCAGCTCAGATGCTCTGCGTGCTGCAGCGAGCCCTTTGGGGAGATCTCAGGGTGATTGGGTGATCGGGGTTGGGTGCTGTCACCCCACAGAAGGACCCACATCACGGTGGGCATCAGGCCCCACCCTCCTGCTAACTGGCCGGCCCACCTGCTCGGGCGCTTGGGGTTTCTCTCCGGGACACGGTAGGAAGGTCCCACGCTCTGCAGGGAGCCGCAGTCTTTCACCTCAAGTTTCCCCGCTTCCTGCTGTTGGCCAGAGCCCTTACGGGGGACCCCCGGCTGGCCTGGAGTCATTTTCTGGGTGGTGCTTTCCCTGTTCTCGGTGGTGCCCTCCAGGTGGGACCCTGAAGCACGTCACGGGGAGGAATGACCTTTGCATCCTCTGTTCTCCCTCTGCAGGACTCCTGGACGCCAGAATTAAAAGTGAAGTTGGAGAAGTTTCTGGCAATGATCTTTAAAGCCAGTAGCACGCCAAGGCTCTTAACATTATATGTATCCTTTGGACGTGAGGTTTCCCCCCGGCTCCATAGCAGGCTTTGCTGAGACATCAAACTTGGGGGCTGGGGCTGGAGCGATAGCACAGCAGGGAGGGTGTTTGCCTTGCATGGGGCTGACCCGGGTTCAATCCCCGGCATCCCATATGGTCCCCCAAGCACCGCCAGGAGTAATTCCTGAGTGCAAAGCCAGGAGTAACCCCTGAGCATTGCTGGGTGTGACCCAAGAAGCAAAAAGAAAAAAAGAAAAAGGAAAAAAGAAACTTGGGCAAAAGGGGGAGTTTTTATTTCTCTGTAGAGCTGCGCCTCACGTGTGCAAGGCTTCAACTCTACCACTGCCCGTGGTCCCCGGCCCCGGGTGGGGGCGGGGTGGGACTTACTAATTTTACTTACTGGTTTTACTGGCTTGGGGGCCACCTCGGCCCTGCCCAGGACTCCCTCCCAGCTTGGTCTTCAGGGACCGCGGCTGCCAGTGCTCATGGACGCTGTCCTGGCCATTGGCCTCCTGCGTGCAGAGCCACCCCGACCCATTGAGCTGTGTCCAGCCCTCGACGAGGATATCCCGCAGGCAGGGTCAGGGGCCTTTGAGGCACACAGCCCACAGTGGCCAGTGTGGGCCCCCAGCAGCACGGACGCACCCCCAAGCACCGCCAGGGGGCACTCCTGAGCTCAGAGCCCAGAATAGCCCCAAGCAGCACTGGACGAGGCCCAGAGAAAACGGGTGGTGGGGGGGGACGACATGTAGGGAGGGGGAATAAACAGAAAATGGGCCTCCTTGAGGTCTAATGCACACACCAGGGACTTTACCCTGTAATTGTGTGTTTCTAGCAAGTGGTGGTTGATAGCCAGCCTCGCAGCCCACTTCAGCGGGGACTCTTGGGGGCAGGAGGGGACCCCCGGCAGGGGAGGGACCGGTCAGCAGGTGAGGCTGGCCCCGCCCCCACAGGCCCCAGGGCCAATGAGCAACTGAGGGGTCTGTCTTGTCATGTTCGGACAGAGGCGGGCCACTCTGCTGCCCTCACCTCTGCTTCCTTTCCCGCTCCCAGACTGTGCAGGGGGCTGGAGGGTGTGTCAGGCCTCACCCAGGGTGCTCAGAGGCTGCCCCTGCATCTGATGCTTCGGGACCAAAGAGGGTGGCAGGGATCGAACGGGAGTCGGCCTTGTGCCAGGCAAGCTCCTTCCCCTCTGTACTGCCACCCCAGCCCCCGGCTCCCTCTTCTCTCTCACACCTGACAGTGCTCCGGGGTTGTTCCTGGATCTGTGCTCGGGGACCACTCTGGGAGAAACCCAGGGAACCATGTGTGGGGTGTGGAGTGTTGGGGAGTGAACCTGGGTCGGCTGCGTGCAGAGGAAGCGCCTCACCGGGTGAGTCCCTGCTCCCCGCAAAGAAACAGAAGCACAGACCAGCGGGCATTTGCACGTGCTCATCTTCCCCACTGTGGCGAGCAGTGCTTCAAGCAGGTCTCAGGCCGAGCAGGGAACCCACCGCGCCAGGCCCACCATGCCCAAGCGTTATGTCGCTGCCCGTGTTCCGTGGAAATACTGTGGCCCGGCTCCCCACGGCTGCCAAGCAATCCTCAGGGCTAAGAGCCCAGACTTAATGGAGCCTTGGGAGAGTGAGCAGGGCTCTCGCCTGGCACACAGCTGGCCCGGCTTCTATCCCCGGCTCCCCACAGGGTCCCCTGAGTTTAGCCAGGAGTGCTCAGAGCTCAGAGCCAGGAGTAAGCCCGAGCACCACCAGGTATGGCCCCCAAACCAAATCTATTTATCACTTTACTTTGTAGATTGGGCTCGTTACTAGAAAGGTATCACTGCACTGCACTGTCCTCCCATTGTTCATCGATTAGCTCCATCAGGCCCGGTAACGTCTCCATCGTGAGACTTGTTGTTACTGTGTTTGGCATATCAAATACGTCATGGGTAGCTTGCCAGGCTTTGCCATGCAGGTGAGATACTCTCGGTAACTTGCTGGGCTCTCCAAAAGGGGCGGAGGAATTGAACCCGGGTCAGCCGGGTTGGCCACATGCAAGGCAAACGCCCTACCTGCTGTGCTATCACTCCAGCTCACTCGAAAGGTAATTATAGTAATACTTATGGGACAATCATAAAACTCTTCACAAGTCTCAAAAGTATTCAGTACTGGGGCCAGAGAGGTGCCGACGGGCTGAGCGCTGGTCCTCAGTGCTGTGGGGACATCCCGAGCACTGCAGGCGTGGCCTCAGCCACACCAGAAACCAGGAGGAAGCGAAAGGCCAGCAGCTGTGGGTTCAAGGGTTCATTGTTCCGTGCCAGGGACTGCTCGCTCCTTCCCGGAAGGCTGAGCCCAAGGGGGAAGCACGCACCGTGGTCTCAGGCTGTCCCTTCCGATGTGCTTCATAGCTGAAGGTCTCGGCTGCAGTGGGGAAGGTCGTTCCAAGGTGAAGAAGTCAGTTGGGGTGAAATGCAGGGCTGCAGACCCCCCCATTCACAGGTTCCCAGAAATGAATATAGTAACCCAGCCCTGTACAGTAAACCTTTCTCTACGCATCAGTATCCTTCATAGCTGAACTCATAAACTAGACTCAGTAGTAAAAGTAACACAGAATGATTTTGAAAACAGTACGATAAAAAATAGCGTGTGTGGTCTCAGAAGATCTTCTGTAATATACATGTATGTGTGTGTATATAACACTGTCCTCCCATTGTTCATCAGTTTGCTCCAGCGGGCCCAGTAACGTCTCCATTTTTGAGACTTTTTGTTACTGTGTCTGGCATATCAAATACGTCACAGGGAGCTTGCCAGGCTTTGCCGTGCGGGCGAGATACTCTCGGTGCTTGCCGGGCTCTCCGAGAGGGGCGGAGGAATCGAGCCCAGCTCGGCCAGGCTGGCTGCGTGCAAGGCAAATGCCCTACCGCTGTGCTATTGCTCCAGCCCGTGTGTGTGTAAACCTGTGTGTGTATATAGACACGTATACATATATGTGTATATACATATATATGTATATATACACATATATACATATATATGTATATACACATATATGTACTGAACACTTTTGAGACTTGTGAACAGTTTTATATATACACATGTGTATATACATGTACATATACATATACCTGTATGTGTATGTGCATATACCTGTATACATATGCACATGTATATTATATACATCTACATATGTATAGTATATGTATGTGTATGTACATATATGGCATGTGTACATACACATACATATACTATATATACATACGTAGATGTGTATAATTACATATAGCACAGAGGGTAGGGCGTTTGCCTTGCTCATAGCCAACCCGGGTTCGATTCCTCTGCCCCTCTCGGAGAGCCCGGCAAGCTACCGAGAGTATCTCGCCCACACGGCAAAGCCTGGCAAGCTACCCGTGACATATTCCATATGCCAAACACAGTAACGACAAGTCTTACAACGTTACTGGGCCTGCTCAAGCAAATCGATGAACAATGGGAGGACAGTGCTACATATATATACACACATATGTATATACACAAAATGTGTGTGTGTGTATAGTTCTTGGTTTGGGGCCACCCCTGGTGGTGTGCAGGGGCTACTTCCTGCTCTGCGCTTGGGGAATTGTGGTGGGCTGGGGATCGAACCTGGGCAGAGCTTGTGCTCACCCCGTCCAGTGCTCTTTGGCCCCTGTAGGCATCTCTGTGGCTGATGGCAGAAATCGGGACCGTGGCTGGGGGTTTGGGCGGCACAGCTCCAGGTGCCCATGGCAGTCGGGAGCAGGAGAGCGGGGAGCAGGCCGCTTCGGCTGCCATCGGCATGGGATCCCAGACTGGACCTGGAGGCCTGTTTTCCTGAACCTGGTTCTCACCTCAGAAGGAGAATGGACAAAGTAGCAAAGGTAAATTCTCCGGGACTGCAGGGGCGGTTCGTGGCCTGGCGAGGGGCTTCCCCATCCGTTCTGGGGGAGCGTCGCCGTCACTTTCCCTCCATTCCTTGAGCTGTCCCGCACTCTCAGGATGGCATCGGGGAGCCACTGCTGAAGCAGGCAGAGGGCCCCGGTTGCCCCTCACAGCAGAGGCCTGGGGCAGCGCATGGGGTGGGGGGGTCCCAGCTTTCTCCTGACACCCATGCCCCCGGGTGTTTGTGGGGCGCTGTGCTGGGGACACTCAGCTGGTGCTCGGGGACCCAGCCGCGCTGGGGGGTTAAGCCTTGCGAGGCGCCACCTCCCGGCCTCGCTCCTGGGCTCAGCGCAGTGGCCCTTCATAGCGGCCCTTCCATTTTCCTCTCGTTGACGTGGTAATTACAGTCCTGAGTTTTCAGCTCAAAATGATCACTATCTATGATTAGCCCTTTCTTGCCCAAACTGGCTTTTTCAGGAAGCCGGAAGCTTTACGAGCTCCGACAGGGCCCTGTTGGGTCTAGAGATGCTCTGAGCTTTGTCTTTGATGCCATCCCCGGGAAAGTGCCCGCATGCCCCTTGGCAGCCAGCAGGGGGCAGCACAGCTGCCGGGCTGCTGCTGGTGCTTCTGCAGAGCCTGGGGTGGGCACTGAGAGGTGGACCTTGCCCTTTCTTGACTCCGCATGCTGTCCTCGGGACTAAGTGGCCGGTTTCCGGGGTGACCGTCCCCAGAGAGCTGATGGGCCTTCCCGAGAAGCCCCTGAAGTTACTCCTGGTCTCTGTAGCCAAGGCCAGGCCACGGGAGCCACGGCCACGCCCACCGAGTTCTTCTGTCCCTTTGTGTCCACACCTGCTGGGGATGCTCAGGGGACCCTGTGCGGGTGCCTGGCCCTCAAGGCTCCCGCAGGAAGGCGCCCCTCCCCACCCCCCACACTGCCCTCCTCTGGGTCGTGGCTGCTGCGGTCGGCCTGCCGTTGGGGTCGGGCGGCTGCTTCATCCACCCGGTCTGATGGTACCTGGGCAGATTGGCACAGATGCAAATACTGCCACAAGGGACCAGGGAGTTAGTGCGGGGGGGGGGAGGGGAGGGCACCTGCCTTGCATGCAGCTTATTCCCAGCACCCCAGCTGGTCCCCCTGAGACCCTCCAGGAGTGATCCCTGAGCTCAGAGCCAGGACTAAGCCCTGAGCATCACCAGGGATGGCCCCAAACCAAATAAAATAAGCCAGAAAACTGCCAGGCAGTGAGACTAGGGATGTGGTGGTGACTGGAGCTCGCACTTAGATCACTGAACTCGGCATGGGCCGTGCCCTGTTCCCCCCTCTCGCCAGCCGCCCTGGAAGGAGCAGCGGGAGGGAGTCCCGTGCCACAGTGGCCTGCCCTCTGCTCAGCTGGAGGAAGGGCCCCCCGGAAGCCTCACCCGGTCCGGGCCTCCCCTGAGGTCCAGAGCCTCTCCAGGCATTAGGGATGGCGAGTTGCTTCGTGCGCTTTGAGCTGGTTAGAGCGAGCTGGGAAGCGCTTGGGGATGCCACCGAGCGCCCCGAGATAAGCCGGCAGGTGGTGGTGAGGGCAAGAGAGGTGACGTCCGCCCTCAGAGGCGTGACACGCAGGCCTCAGGCCCTGATAGGGCAGGCCAGCGTTAGAGCCCAGCGCTCAAAACACCATGACCTCTTAGCACCTGTATTGCAAACCATAATGCACAGAAGGAAGAGGAGAGTGAGAGAAAGGAAAGATCATTCCTGACAGTGGGGGAAACAGAGGACATTGGTGGTGGGAAATGCACACTGGTGGAGAATGGGTGCTGGATCATTGTATGACTGCAACCCAATTATGAACAGCTTTGTTATGGTCTATCACGGATATTCATTGAAAAAAAATTTTTTGAATAAAAGTAATGTGGAGTTCGGGGCTGGAGCAATAGCACAGCGGGGAGGGCGTTTGCCTTACAAGTGGCTGACCCAGGTTCGAGCCCCAGCATCCCATAGGGTCCCCTGAGTATTGCCAGGAGTAATTCCTGAGTGCAGAGCCAGGAGTAAGCCCTGTGCATTGCTGGGTGTGACCCAAAAGGCAAAATAAATAAACACAAGTATTCCTAAAAAAAAAAAAAAAAGAGAGCCTAGCATTCAGACATCCTGCCCGCGGGTGGGCGGGGCACCCCCCCCCCCCACACACACACACACGCAGGAGATGTTTTTCACTGTGTGTGGGGTTTTGATGTGTTTCCTTTCCCTTCCCCTCCATCATCTTCCTAGAAGCGCTGCAGCAGCTCCACCAGCAGCTGGTGGAGGCGGAGCGGAGGTCCATGACCTACCTGAAGCGGTACAACAAGATCCAGGCCGACTACCACAACCTCATCGGGGTCACGGCCGAGCTGGTCGACTCGCTGGAGGCCACAGTCAGCGGCAAGATGGTAAGGGCGTGCCCGGCCAACGGGGGGCGCGCTGGGTCCTGACCAGGGCAGCCCCCCCCCCCCACCTCCCGGCCTCTCCCCATCAGGTGGGTCCCAGGGGCTGTTTCTAGCCCGTTGTTGGGGTCGAACCTGGGCCTCTCCATGTAGAGCATGTGCACCAGCCCTTTGGACGGTCTCCCCACCCCCTGCATTGTGTGTATGTGTGTGTGTGTTTATGTGGTCTTTGGTTTGGAGACCACCCTTGGTAGTGCTGGGCGACTACTCCCGACACAGTGCTCAGGGGCCGTTCCTGGTGCTGCTCAGGGGACCATGCAGTGCCGAGGCTTAGCCCTGGGGTTCCTGCATGCGAAGTCGTGCTCAGCCCCTGCCGGGTGAACTGTGAGTGGACCGTAAACCTGGCTAAGTCAGAAGTCGGGGCACTGGATTTCGGGCAGAAGTCACTGCGTTATTTCTCCTGGAGGCTCCTGAGGTCTCCGCCCCGCCCTCGCCTGGTGCTGTCTGTAACTTCCTCTACATCCTCCCAGCACCAGGACTAGGTGTCCTTAGAATTCTCCCCATTCAGCAAATGAAACTTGGCTCTTTTTGTTTGTTTTGGGGTCGCACTCGGCAGTGCTCAGGGGTTAGTCCTGGCTCTGCACCCAGAGGTCCTTCCTGGTGGGGCTCAGGGGGCCATGTGGGACGCCGGGGATTGAACCCAGGTTGGTGACGTGCTGGGCAAGTGTCCTCCCCGCTGTCCCGTAGCCCCGGCCCCGGCTTGGCCTCCTGTGTGCTTAGTTCGGCGTGTTGAGGCTGAAAACTGTGTCCCCATGTTCGTCTGGCTGCTCCGGTGCCGTTTCCCGCCAGCCCCCATCAGCCCTCGTCCCCCTTCAGTCAGCGGCAGACAGTGGCACCACAGGTCCAGGCAGCTCCCCGAGGTCACAGGACCCCTTTGCCGTGGGACAGTGAGGGTCAGGCCAAGCAGGGAAGTTTGCCCTGGCCCCGGTGAGCTCGGGGCAGTGCTGGCCATGGGCCCCTCTTGAGGCACAGGGCGGAGGCCCGAGGCTGGTCTGGCCATTCTCCGATGGACATAGCCACGGAGCAGCTGAAGCCGGACCCTGAGGAGGAAGGGGCGGGCAGAGAGCTGCTGCTCCAGGCTCAGTTTCGGGGCCCACATGGTGCTGGGGTATGAACCCCAAGTCCCGGGTGTAAAGCACAGGCTCACCCTTTGGACTGTCTCCCCTCAAAAGTAAACTTGGGCCACACCTGGAGCTGCTCAGGGCTTACTCCTGGCGCTGGACTCAGCAGGCACTCCCGCCAGGCTCGGAGGATTCTTGGGGTGCTGGGGGTCGAACCCGGGTTGGTCACATGAAGGCAAGCGCCCTCCCTGCTGTGCTCTCTAAGACTCCCCATCTGATGTTCTCCTGTGGTATCAGGGATGCAGCCCATTGCCACAGACGTGCAGGGGACATGCAGCTGCAAGGGGGCAGGGAACTGCAGGGGAACATGGAACTGCAGGAGGTCAGGGATCTGCAGGGGGACACAGAGCTGCAGGAGGGCAGGGAGCTGCAGGGGGAACATGGAACTGCAGGAAGTCAGGGAGCTGCTGGGGACACGCAGCTGTGGGGGGGGGGGGAGGGGGAGGGAGCTGCAGGGGTCAGGGAACTGCAGGGAGACACACAGCTGCAGGAGACACCAGCCGCAGGGGACACAGAGCTGTGTTCTGGCTTACTGGAATTTTACTCAAAGGAGAGCTGGGAAATGGGACGGGCACCGAAGTCCCATTGAGGCGGTTGTCCACCCCAAGCGACAGAGCTAACAGGAGGCAGCGGAGAGCAGTGGTCAGCGCACAGGGAAGGGCAGCCGGGCCTGCGGTGTCCAGCCGTGGCTTTGGGGCTGAGCACTTGGCATGGCCCAGCGTGTCCCTCGTCCCCCTCATGACTGGACGCTCAGCTGAGCCCCCGGCACGTTCCTCCCGCTTCTCTGCCGCGACAGTGGGAAGGGGCAGTGGGGGCAGGGGACAGGGACAGACAGGGCGTTGCAGTACAGCCCAGGCAGGAGGCTCCGCCTGGCCCATCCCCTTGGTTCCCGGCACCTCTGCGGCCTCACAGGACACACACACCCCCCACTCGTCCCTGCAGATCACCCCCGAGTACCTGCAGAGCGTCTGCATCCGTCTCTTCAGCAACCAGATGCGGCCCAGCCTGGCACACAGCGTGGACTTCACCAGGCCCGGCACGGTAGGCCCTGCCCCGCGGTGGGGGGGCGGGGAGGAGTGACCATCCAAGTAGTGTATGGCCAGGACAGATGTTTGTCTGCTTGGTTTGGGTTTGAGGACCTCATCTGGTGGTGTGCAGGGACTGTTTCTGGCTCTGTGCTTGGGGCTGGGGGGACCAGCTGTGGTGCCAGGGACCCAGCTTGGGCTGGCCGCGTGCAGGGCAAACACCTGCCCTGTTGGCCTATCCCTCGGGCCCAGGTGAGGACGGAAACAGGATGGTCTTCAGAGTAGCAGCCATGGTGAAGCCATGTCTCGGACACAGAGGCTCGCGCCTCTTCTCTTTCTGGCTCTCAGAACCCAGCTGGCTGTCCCACGGCACTCGGGGTTGTTGCCGGGGACAGGGCCTGGACCTCTCTCCGATGACCTCTGCGCTTTGCGGCCCTCACACGGCCGCTGGTTCACGGCCTCAGCACCGTGGGAGAAGACTGGGGGTGTCCCCTTTGCTTCTGTCTGCGGGGGGAATGGGGTGCATGTCCACTCGGCACCCCGCGCCCAGGCGGCCGTCAGTGGTCCCGAATGCTTCCCAAAGGGGCTCGTCTGGAATTGTGGTTCAGGAGCTCTGGTGGCCGCGGGTTCCCGGCTGGGGACAGCAGGTGCTAGGGGAGTGTCCCGGAGCAAAGGGGGATCAGAGCTTTGGGCTAGGAAGGAGATTCTGGGCGGCCCCGAGGGTTCCCCAGGTCAGGACAGTGACTCTCCCTGGAGGGCTTGGATGTGGCGTCTGTGGCCCCGAGAGCAGAGGCCTGTTGCCACTGAGGCCTCCGTGTCCCTCTGACCCCTCCCGAGGGGGAGCAGCCGCTGCTGGAGTGTGAGACAAGGAAAGTGCGAGGGGCATTGGAGAGGGAGCCGTGAGGTGACGGGCCCCGCTGTCCCCTGGTCCCTTGTCTCAGGCGTCAGTGAGGGCTGAAAGAGCGAAGCCAGGTCACTTGCACGGAGAAGTGGCCCGGGGGACCCAAAAGAGGGTCCCCTGAGCCTTCCAGGAGAGATCTGTGAGCACAGAGCCGGGAATAGCCCCCGAGCACTGCAGGCCCCCCAGGTAGAACCTGTAGGGGTTCGTGAGGAGCAGTTCTTGGAGCGGAACACGGCTCCTTATTCTTTTTTTGGCTTTTTGGGTCACACCCAGCGATGCACATTACTCCTGGCTCTGCACTCAGGAATCACCCCTGGGGTGCTCAGGGGACCCTATGGGATGCTGGGAATCGAACCCGGGTCAGCCACGTGCAAGGCAAACGCCCTACCCACTGTGCTATCGCTCCAACCCCAACAGCTCCGTTATTCTAAGGAGGAGAGAGCCTCACTTGGCACCATGCCAGCCAATGCCACAGTCACGAGGTGGCCAGGGGGTGGCCCTGAGGTCACGGGGAGCCAGCCGCGTTTGCGCCCTTTCCTGCCTCCTGAGTGAGACAGTGGCGGACAGTTTCCCATTGGCCGGGGAGCTTCCCTGGCGGTGATCAAGGATATTGTCTTCACTTGGTGGCCCGGAGGCAGGGCAACAGTTTTTTTTTTCTTTTTGGGTCACACCTGGCAATGCACAGGGGTTACTCCTGGCTCTGCGCTCAGGAATTACCCCCGGTGGTGCTCAGGGGACCATATGGGATGCTGGGAATCAAACCCAGGTCGACCGCGTGCAAGGCGAACGCCCTACCCGCTGTGCTATTGCTCCAGTCCAGGGCAACAGGTTTGTACGCGTGTTTGTAGAGTGTGAGGAGGGAGACCACGGGAATGAGAGTGACTGAGCTGAAGGGGTGCAGGATATGGAAGGGTTAAAAAGGTTCCTTTTAAACTAAAACAAATTGTGGTGGGGTGCCGGAGCGGGGGAGAGCGTTTGCCTGGATGCAGTCAACCCAGGTTCGATTCCCAGCATCCCATTTGGTCCCCCCAGCACTGCCAGGAGTGATTCCTGAGCGCAGAGCCAGGAGGAAGCCCTGAGCATCACTGGGTGTGACCCCTAAAGAAGCCAAAAATAAATAAAATCTTTAAAAAAGCAAATCTAGGGGCTGGAACAATAGCACAGCGGGCAGGGCGTTTGCCTTGCACACGGCCGACCCGGGTTCGATTCCCAGCATCCCACATGGTCCCCTGAGCACCGCCAGGAGTAACCCCTGTGCATCTCCAGGTGTGACCCAAAAAGCAAAAAAAAAAATCTAGGACTGTGGGGTGGTCACTCCTAGAGGCGTGTCAGACTTCTGACACAGTGCTCTGGGCTACCTTGCCCTCGGAGCCACCACCCCAGCCCCACTGCCTAACTTTATTTTATTTTTATTTATTTATTTACTTTAATTTTATTAGTGAAACACCATGAGATACAGTTGTAGACTTACAAATTTTTGTGCTTGGGTTTCAGTTATACAATGATCGAATACCCCGTCCCTCCACCAGTGCCCATTCTCCACTACCACTAATCCCAGTATCCCTCCCACTCCTCAACCCCCCTCCCCACCGCCTCTGTGGCAAAGCATTCCCTTTTGTTCTCTCTCTCCTTTTGGGTGTTGTGGTCTGCAAAAGAGGCATTGAGTGGCAATCATGTTCGGTCTATAGTCTACTCTCAGCACGCATCTCCCATCCTGGGAGGATCCTCCCAACACCCTTTACTTGGTGCTCCCTTCTCTATCTGAGCTGCCTTTTCCCCTAGGGGTTGGAGCAATAGCACAGCGGGTAGGGCGTTTGTGCTATTACGTTTGTGCGTTTGTGCCACAGTGGGTGGCTGGCCTCCAAGCCATGGAGTGAACCTCCTGGTACTTATCTCGGCTATTCTTGGGTGTTAGTCTCCTATTTCGTTACTTTATTGTTTTTTATTTTAATTTATTTTCATTTGGGAGGGGGGCCACAGCCGGCAATGTTCAGGGGTTACTCCTGCCTCTGTGCTCATGAATGAATCACTCCTGGCGGTGCTCGGGGTCTGTACGGGGTGCCGGGGATCAATCTGGATCAACCATGTGCAAGGCAAACACCCTCCCCGCTGTGCTATCGCTCCGGCCTCTAGTCTTAAACTGAGGGTGATTGAGGGAGGCTTGTGGCCCTTGCAGCCACGGGGACTGGCCACTGAGCTGTCCTGTGTGACAGCCGTCGTCTCCTCTCTCTCCCCGCCCAGGCTTCCACCATGCTGAGAGCATCCTTGGCGCCCGTGTAAGTACTGACCGGCCCCAGGGGGCTCAGGGGGTGGCGTGGAGGCCAGTGGGAGTGAGAGCACCCAGTGGGAAGCTGACCGTCCCCACCTGCTGGTTCTGTGGGCAGGGGGGCCCTCACTGAGGGGGCCTCGTCAGTCCCCCCCCACGGTGTCCCTGCGGCCGCAGTGTTGGGGCTCCTGGCCGCTGGGACGAGCTCAGGCATGCGCAGTGCAAGGCACAGACGCAAGGACGGGGTGGGCTTGGGGGTCCCGCACCTCTGTGGGGGGGGCACAGAGTGGGTGCTGGGGGTTGGGACCCCTCACCCCGTGTGTGTGTGTGTATGTGGGGGGGGGCAGAGTGGAGGGGTGAGGGTCAGGGCCCCTCACCCTGCATATGTGTATGTATGTGTTTGTGTGGGTATGTGTGTGTGTGTCCGGGCAGAGTGGGGTGCTGGGGGTCATGTCCCTAACCGAGTGTGTGTGTGTGTGTGTTTGTGTGTGTGTGTCCAGGCAGAATGGGGTGCTGGGGGTGACTCAGTCTCCCCAGCTCAGGCATAGCCCCGGGACCAGCCCTGGGGCTTCGTGTATGTGTGTCTGTGTGTCTGTGTGTCTGTGTGTGGTCGCGTGCCCAGCCCCTGGGCCCTGGCCCTGTGCTCCATTTAGTTTGCTTTGTCGCCTCTTTCTCGCAACTGCCACCCAGCCCTTTAAGAGGATCTCATTTTCTCTCTCGTTTTTGTTTTTTTTTTCCCCCTTTTGGGTATTTGGCCCAAATTCGTGATTGTGGTAATGCTCAGGGTTCATTCGTGACAGCGCTCGGGGGACCATATAAGATTCTGAGGATTGAACCAAAGTCAACCTAGTGCAAGGCAAACGCTGACCCACCGTACTGTCGCTCCAGCCTCATGTTCTCTTTTAAAAACTTATTTAGAGAGAGAAATAGAGAAACAGAGAGAGAGAGAGAGAGAGAAGAAAGGAGAGGGAGTGTTCAGGGGTTAAGCCATCAACTTAGTTTAATCCTTGGTACCATGTAGGGTCCCTGGAGCCTTGGGTCCCCAGGAGTGAGCCCTGAGCACATAGCCGGGAGTGAGCCCTGAGCACAGAGCCAGGAGTGAGCCCTGAGCACAGAGCCAGGAGTGAGCCCTGAGCACAGAGCCAGGAGTGAGCCCTGAGCACTGAGCTGGGAGTGAGCCCTGAGCATTGAATCGGGATTGAGTCCTGAGCACTGAGCCAGGAGTGAACCCTGAGTGCCACTGGCTGTGGCCCAGCCCCGCCCTGACTCTGGAAAGCAGCGCATCATTCCATTGTGCAGTGCCAGAGGCTGAGCACCCCCCGCAACAGAGGCTGCCTACTCTCTGCCGTTCTCTGCCTGGATCAGGGCAGCCTCATCTCTTGCTCAAGACAATTCTGGTTCTCAGGAGGCTGTGCCGGCCCCCAGAGGCCACAGGGCATCAACTCATCCCCAGGGCTGCCCCTGTGCCCTGGCGTCCCCCCAGAACAGACGCCCACGGCTTCCTCTCTCTCCCACACAGTGACCGCCCAGCCCCAAGTCGGGGCCCCTTGTGTGCGGCCGACCTGGCTCTGTGCCCCACACTCCCTCAGCTGCAGGTGTTTCGGGGTGCTAGGGGTCCCAATGTAGCTAGGCCAGCACTCAGCCCCGTCTCAGGACCCCCTCAGGGATCACGCAGTTGAGTCCGGCCGGGGCCTGGGCCCCGGAAGCTTATGTGGGCCACGTGGGGCGTGCAGTGGTCCAGGCGGGCGTGAGCGTGCCCCGTGCCCTCTCCTCCCGCCCTGGCAGGAAGCTGAAGGACGTGCCCCTGCTGCCCTCCCTGGACTACGAGAAGCTGAAGAAGGATTTGCTCTGGGGCAGCGACCGCCTGAAAGCTTTCCTGCTGCAGGCGCTGCGCTGGGTACGCCCTCCCTGCCGCCACCCCCTGACCCCACCGGCTGCTGTCCCCCCTGAGACCCCACTGGCCACCGCCCACAAGGCCCCACCACCAGCTGCCGTCCGCCACCCCCAAGACCCCACCGGCTGCCGTCCCCTTCAAAACCCCACCGGCCACCCTCACCCCTCTGTGACCCCACCAGCCACACCCTGAGACCCCCACCAGCCACCCCCCTGACTCCCCCGGCTGTCCCCCAAGACCCCACTGGCTGTGGCTTCCGCAGCCCTGGCTGAAGTCCCCCTGGACTGCGTTGCATCCTCCCCGCACGGTCCAGGAGCACGCGCCTGTCCCCATGAAGACTCGCTTGTGACTTTGCTCCTTCCCCCAGCGCCTGACCACATCCCACCCCGGGGAGCAGCGGGAGACGGTCATGCAGGCCTACGTCAGTAACGACCTCCTGGACTGCCACAGCCACGGCCAGGTGGGTGGGCTGCCCAAGTCCCCTGGCCCCAGCCCCTGCACCCACGATGACTGCCCCGGGCCCACCCGTGTCTGGGGTCATTCAGTGCTTATCCTGGCCCCATTCTTTGAGGCCTTAGGCCTCTCCCAGACCCATGTGATCCAGAGGATAGCTCCTTTTTCAGGGCTGAATGGTGTTCCTTGTGTGCACAGGCCCTACTGTGTTGTGTTGTATGTGTGTGTGTGTGTGTGTGTGTGTGCGCGCGCGCGCGCATGAGCCATGCTGTGTTCTGTGTGCGCACACGCGTGTACACGTAATCACAAGACACTCTCCCTGCTGTGTGCACATGCTGGACCATGCTGTGTTCTGTGCAGGAACCACACTGCTCTGTTCTATGTCTGTGTGTGCAGACCACGTGCCATGTGGCTCCTCCACTGACCACCACGCGCCCCTGGCAGGCATTTGGGGCCTCTGCGGACTTCCCCTTCCCCCACACGGCTTCTGGAGATGTCCTCCAGCCTCTCTGTAATGCACCGTTTTTCCTCTCTGCTTCCTCTCTGGTGGGGAGCAGACCTGGCTTACTCCTGGCTCTGTGCTCAGAGATCACTCCCAGCGGAGCACAGACGCCATAAGGGGTGCCGGGGATCGAACTCACGGCTTTGAGCTTGCCAGGCAAGTGCTTGGCTGTGGAGGCCCTTGTTAAGACCCCCAGTAATTATTTCCCCCCCAGCCATCACACAGTGTCTGTGGGACCCGGCATCAAGGTCCCTCTGCGTGTCTCACCTTGGGGTCCTCCCCCCCGCCCCACGCTCACCCGCTCTCCCTCCTGTCTCCCCGCAGAGGACGGTGCTCCAGCTACTGCACTCCCCGAGCGAGGTGGTGCGCCAGTACATGGCCCGGCTGCTCAATGCTTTCGCCTCCCTGGCCGAAGGTGAGCCACCCGGGGCTCTGTGGACAGACCTGTCCCCCCCGTCTGGCCACACCACGTCTTCTCTGCTCCTCACTGTCGTCTCTGTCCCAGCCAGGGTGGGAGGCTTTGGAGTTACTTCCCAGAGTTTGCAGTTCAGTCCTGCAGGCTCTCGGCTTCTGCGGCTGAGAACCTTTAGCCGCTGGCAGGGCAAGAGCCTTAAGAGCCGTAACAGGGGGTTGGAGTGATAGCACAGCGGGTAGGGCATTTGCCTTACAGTTTGGTGACCCGGGTTCGATTCCCAGCATCCCATATGGTCCCCTGAGCACCGCCAGGAGTAATTCCTGAGTGCAGAGCCAGGAGGAACCCCTGTGCATGGCCAGGTGTGACCCCCCCAAAAAAAAAAAGCTGTAACAAAGTAACAATGCGCTTCCTCTGGCTAAGTACCCAGGGAAAAAAATAAGCCTGGGGGCATATTTGACTGGTTCCCATCAGCACTGTTGCAATTTCTTCGGAATTTTTCATCCATCAAGAGGACTCAAACATCTTATTCTGTTTCTTTTTGTTTGGGGGCCATGCCCAGTGGTGCTCAGGACTTCCTCCTGGCTCAGCGCTCAGGGCTCACTCCTGGTAAACCCCAGTCCCCCGCATCCACCTGCAAGGCCAGTGCACACACCCCCACCCCTCGCCCAGTGCTGTGCCTTCTCTCCAGCCCCGAGGGTTGAACATCTTACAGATAAATGCTGCCCTCCTGACACCAGTGGCTTCACCTGGCGTGACTTTTTCTAAAGTGCTCATTTGTTTGGGCTTTTTTTTTTCTTTAATGTGTATTTGACACCATCTAGGGTTAGATTTCTTTTTTTTTTTAATCTGTATTTTAAACTTGTGCTTTTTAATTTTTTTTAATTTATTTTTATTTTATTTTATTTTTGCTTCTTAGGTCACACCTGGCGATGCACAGGGGTTCCTCCTGGCTCATGCACTCAGGAATCACTCCTGGCAATGCTCAGGGGACCATATGGGATGCTGGGACTCGAACCCGGGTCTGCCGGGTGCAAGGCAAACGCCCTACCCACTGTGCTATCACTCCAGCTCCTAGGGTTAGAGTTCTGATTCAACACACTGGTTTGGTATTTATATACAGATGTGGAGCAATCACAGTGAGTGTGACTATTCCAGCTGAGCTCTTTTTAACTTGGAAGGTTAAAATAAATAAATAAATAAATAAAGGTCCTCCCGTTGATCATCGATTTGCTCGAGTGGGCCCAGTAACGTCTCCATTGGAGACTTTGTTGTTACTGTGTCTGGCATATCGAATACTCTCGGTAGCTTGCCGGGCTCTCCGAGAGGGGCGGAGGAATCGAACTCGGGTCGGCCATGTTGGCTGCGTGCAAGGCAAACGCCCTACCGCTGTGCTATCGCTTGAAACTGGTGCAGTGGTGGGAGGAAAGTCACTCTGGTGATGGGATCAGTGTTGGAACATTGCATGCCAAAAACAACTGTTAAGAACAGCTTTATGAACCATGGTGTTTAAAAAAATTTTTTTAAAGAATCTGGGGCTGGAGAGTACGGTGGGTAAAGCCCTCATCTTCCATGACAAGAGTTGGATTTGATTTCTGGCTTCCCATCTGGCATCCGAGCACCCCCAGGAGAAATTCCTGAGTGCAGAGCCAGGAATTGCCCTTAAGCATTGCCTGCTGTGGCCCAAAAATCAAATAAAATGGAGATTTTCTCTAATCTAAAGAAAGAACCAGGGGCTGGAGAGATATGACAGCAGGTAGGCATTTGCCTTGCACGCGGCCAACTTGGAAGGTTAAGTTGTTGTTTTTTTTTTCTTTTTTGGGTCACACCCTGCGATGCACAGGGGTTACTCCTGGCTTTGCACTCAGAAATTACTCCTGTTGGTGCTCAGGGGACCATATGGGATGCTGGGACTCGAACCCGGGTTGGCTGTGTGCAAGGCAAATGCCCTACCTGTTATGCAATCACACCAGCCCCTGTTTTTTGGTTTGTTTTTTTTTTGTTTATTAATTAACTGACTTAGTTTTGTGGGCACACTTGGCGGTGCTCAGGGCTTCCTCCTGGCTCTGCACTCAGGGGTCACTCCTGGCAGGCTCAGGGAACCGTATGGGTGTCAGGGATCTAACCAGGTTGGCCACATGTAAGGCAAACACCCTACCTGCTCATGCTCTCTGATCCATTTTACTTTTATTTAGATTTTTGGCCCACACCTGGCAGTGCTCAGAGCTTACTCCTGCCTCTGTGCTCAGGGAGCACTCCTGGTGGGGCTTAGGGAGCTATATGCAATGCCAGGGGTTGAACCTGATTAACATGTGCCAGGCAAACGCCCTGCCCACTGTACCATCACTCCGGCCCTCCAGTTCATTTTAAATAAAATACGTTTAAATTTTATGTGGGGGACTTGGGGGTTGCACGGGGTTGCACCCACTGTGCCTGGGCTATTCCTGGCTCTGTCGCTGTTGCCAGGTGTGGTAGCCAGGGGTTGAACCAGGGTCAGACACATGTAAGATAGGAACCTTAACATTTATCCTCTCTACTGAGAGTTTCTCAGTCATGACTACCTAGAATAGTGCAGATTGGAAAAGTGTGCTCCAGTTAGACGAGGGTCTTTTATAAACAGACCCGAGAAACTTATGGTGTTGATGAGCACAGTGCAGTCCTGGGAAGGCTTGGAGTGATAGCACAGGAGGTAGGGCATTTGCCTTGCACGCGACGAACGTGGCCAACCCGGGTTCGATTCCTCCGCCCCTCTTGGAGTGCCCGGCAAGCTACCGAGAGTATCTCGCCCGCACGGCAAAGCCTGGCAAGCTCCCCGAAACATATTCAATATGCCAAAAACAGTAACAACAAGTCTCACAATTTGTTGTGAGACGTTACTGGTGCCCACTCGAACAAATCGATGAACAACGGGAGGACAGTGCTACAATGCTACGATTTCCTTCATTTAGGGGTGGGGGAAGCATGGGGCCATTCCTGATAGGGCTCAGGGCTTACTCCTGCTCTGTGCTCAGTCATCACTCCTGCAGGTGTCAGGGGGACCCCGTGCCAGGCCGGGATTGAACCCAGGTTGGTCGCACGCAAGGCCAGCGCCCTGCCCACTGCACTGTCTCTCTGGCCCAGCATTTACACGTGGACTTTAAACTATTCAAGGCGCCCCGTTCACCCCTGTGTTCTTCAGAGGCAACTAATACCAAGTTTATTTTCCCCTTCATTCATTTGCTGATTCCATTCGCTTCCCTGTAAGTAAATTTTAAGCCAGGGAGTATGCGGGAACCCTTCAGTAGTACTATGGGGGCCGTGCCTGAAGTTCACATTGTGTCTATTGAAACTCAAGTCCACTAGGTTAATGACAAATCCAGACTTACTCTAGGGGCCGAGGAAGTTCCCACCTTCTGCAGGTCACGGACATGCCACGGAGCCAGAGCTTGAGCAGGAAGCACCGGGGCTGCCTCTCTGGGGAGGTCCGAGGGGTCCGTGACTGTACCGCCTCGCCCGAGTCCCAGTAACCGACCTGAGGTTTAAGCTTTCCGGAAAAGAGCAGCACAGCCCCCGGAACACGGCAGCCATGGGCACACTCCAGGAAGAGCAGCCTCTGGGCGAGGCCTATGCCGGACCACTGGGCGCCCTGCCCCACACACTCAGGGCCCATCAGAACCCAGACCACTGCAGGACCCTGCCCCGTACACTCAGGGCCCATCAGGCCTCGGGCCGCTCACGGCCTCTCTGCTCACCCCCAGGTCGCCTCTACCTCGCCCAGAGCCCGACGGTGCTACGGATGCTGGAGGAAAGGCTGAAGGAGGAGGACAAGGACCTCATTACCCGGGAGAATGTTCTGGGCGCCTTGCAGAAGTTCAGTCTCAGGTACCGGCCGGGTCCCTGCGGCTCCTGTGAAATCGAATACGAGGTTTTCTTCGCATCTGCTTCATGCAGGTTAAAACTCAGGGCAGCCCGCCAGGCCAAAGGTGCTTCTTGCTGACCCTGATGTGGTACAAACAATCTTTTATTGTTTTTCTGGATTTTGGGTGTCACTCTCAGTGGCGGTGCTCAGGGCTGACTCCTGGCTCTGTGCTCAGGGATCACTCCTGGCAGGGCTTGGGCAAACACGGCGGGATGCCAGGGATTAAACCCAGGTCAGCCGCATGAAAGGGAGGTACCCTACCCACTGCACTACCTTTCTGGCCCCCGTTGCTTCAATTTTCATCCCTTTGTTGGCAGGTGGTGGCTCAAGGCTGCGGCTGGGGCTGAAATGGGTCCCGTGGGCTAGTGTCTGCCACAGGGTCAGGCTGTGGGTGTCCTGCCCACTGGGAGCACGGAGAGGGTGCTGGGTGGTTCTGGGGAAGTGGCACGGGGTCCTCCCGGGCCTTTGTTCTTGGTTCCAGCAACCACCTCCCACCACTCGGAGCCTGGGCACCGGGACTCTGCCTGCATGGGGCTGGGGGCCTCCCTTACTCTTCCTGCCTGGCCGGGTGGGAGCCCCGAAAGAGCCCATCACCTTGGCTTGGACCTGGCATTTGGCCCTACCCTGTTTTGCCCACACCTGGTAGTGCTCAGGGCTCAAGCCTGGATCTCTCACTCAGGGGGTGCCAAGGATCTAACCCGGGTCAGCCACATGCACGGCCAGTGCCCTCCCTGCTGGACTATGACTCTGTCCCCTTGTCCCCTGCTTCAACTAGTTTGCATTTGGCTTTTTTTTTTGCCTTATTTCTTATTTAGTTTTTAAATTTTTTCATGAATCACCATGAGACACAGTTACAGATTTACAAACTTTCGTGATTATGTTTCAGTCATACAATGATCGAATACCCAACCCTCCACCAGTGCCCATTCTCCACCACCAGTGTTCTCAGTATCCCTCCTGCCACCCCCACACCCCCGCCTCTGTGGCAGACACATTCCCTCTTACTCTCTCTCCTTTTGGGTGTTATGGTTTGCAATACGGGTACTAAGTGGCCATCATGTTCGGTCCATAACTTCCAGCACACATCTCCCGTCCTGAGTGAACCCTCCAAGCGTCATTTACTTGGTGGTCCCTTCTCTATCTCAGCTGGCTTTTGGCTTTTTGAATTTCTGTGTATTTGTTTCGGTTTGGGGACCACACCCAGCAATGCCCAAGGCTGACTTCTAGTTCTGCACTTAGGGGTCACTCCTTGTGAGCCCACCTCAGCTGCCTGCAAGGCAAGCGCCCTCTCTGCTGTACTGTCACTCCGGCCCTGTTTTCGGTTGGATACAGTTCAAAGTGCCTGTGCTGACTATATAGCACTGTAGCACTGTCCTCCCGTTGTTCATCGATTTGTTCGAGCAGGCACCAGTAACATCTCACAACAAATTGTGAGACTTGTTGTTACTGTTTTTGGCATGTCGAATACGTCATGGGGAGCTTGCCAGGCTTTGCCAGGCAGGCGAGATACTCTCGGTAGCTTGCCGGGCTCTCCAAGAGGGGCAGAGGAATCAAACTGAGGTCGGCTGTGTGCAAGGCAAATGCCCTACCCACTATGCTATCACTCCAGCCCGGCTTTTATAGATAAGGATTTTGTTGTTGCTGTTGTTGGTTTTTGGGTCATACCCGGCGATGCACAGGGGTTACTCCAGCCTTTGCACTCAAGAGTTGCTCTTGGCGGTGCTCAGGGGACCATATGGGATGCTGGGAATCGAACCCAGGTCGGCCGCGTGCAAGGCAAACGCCCTACCCGCTGTGCTATCTCTCCAGGATTAAATTTTATGAGAAATCTGTTTGCCCTGGCCAGGACTGTGACCCAGTTGGTGGTGTGGCCTCCCAGCAAGGGACTGAGGGGGCATAGCTTGTTTTTGTGGCTCCGTTTCTGGAGTGTAGATCAGACATCCTCAGTACAAATGTGTGCTGATTCTCTGCTGACAAAATTGTGTTCTCATTTATTGAGGTCCATTTAGGGGGTCTGGGCGCCGCAGCTGGAGGGGGCTGAGAGGTGGAACTCGGGGTCTCCCGAGCCGGGGCTATCGTTCAGTAGCGGACGGGAAAGTGGCCCGGTAGATCTTCCCCTGCCTCATCTTGCTTGAAACCCTGCCCATGGCCGCCTGGGTAGCACTTGTGCTTTCGTGGCGCTGGTGACTGGTTCTCTGCCCGCCCCACCCCACGCCCGCTGGTCCCCGGAACTGTGGCCAAGTGGATGCTCCTGCCCTAGGCGCCCGCTGCAGACGGCCATGATCCAGGACGGCCTCATCTTCTGGCTGGTGGAGCTGCTGCGGGAGCCCGACTGCCTGTCGGACTACACGCTGGAGTACGCCGTGGCCCTGCTCATGAACCTCTGTCTCCGCAGCGCAGGTGGGCTCCCGGCCCCTCGGCCCCCGGGGGGCTCCCAAGGACTCAGTCCGCGTGGCGTGGTGGGCATGAGGCCTCGAGTCGGTACCGTCCTACCCCCGGGTGCAAGCAGCTTCTCCAGGGCCCCCAGGGGCCGGGTGTTGTTGGCGCCTCACAGGCCTGGCTCAGGGCACCTCGGTCACCTGCGCCAGCTGGCTGAACACAGTTCCAGCCCACTTCCCGCCACCTGCCCGGCTCCCGCAGTGGTGGTGGAGGGAGGATGCATGGGGTCCCTCCATGCCAGTGCAGTGGGGGTGCCCACTGGTGGGCTCCACTTAGACCCCAAGGGCTCACCCCGAGCCGCTCCCTCCCTGCGCACCGACCCCTCGTCCACGGACCCCTGGAGGTGACCAGCCAGCCAGAGGGGCTGCCGCAGGTGACTGTGTCATGCCCATCCTGATGTTTGTCCCCAAAGGGAAGAGCGTGTGCGCCAAGGCGGCCGGCCTCGTGCTGAAAGTTCTCTCGGATCTGCTGGGCCACGAAAACCACGAGGTACCGACCACGCGCCCCGCCCGCTCCTGCCCCCCCCCAGCCCCTCAGGAGCTCCCCCGCCTGACCCCACCCTGGCTCCCCAAGCTGCTTCCCTGAGGGGGGATGTGCATGCGTGTCTGTGTGTGTGTGTGGGGGGGGGGGTAACAGTGGGGAGGAGTGTAGTCTCTGAGTGTGGTAATGTGTGTATGTGGTATGCTGTATGGGGTGTGCCTCTGTGTGAGTGTGTGTGGTGTGTGGTGTATATGTGTAGTCTGTGAATGTGTTAGTGTGTGTTTGTGGTATAACGTATGGGATGTGCCTCTGTGTATCTGTGTGAGTGTGTGTCTGTGTGTGGGGTGTGTAGTGTGTGTGTGTATGTTAGTGTATGTATGTGGTACACTGTATGGGGTATGTCTGTGTGTCTGTGTGTGTCTATGTGTGGTGTGTGGTACGTGTGTGTGTCTGTGAGTGTGTTAGTGTATGTATGTGATACACTGTATGGGGTGTGCCTCTGTGTCTGTGTGAGTGTGTGCCTGTGTGTGTGGTGTGTGTGGTGTGTGTGTCTGTGAGTGTGTTAGTGTGTGTATGTGGTATACGGTATGGGGTGTGCCTCTGTGTGTATGTGTGTGGTGTGTGGTACGTGTGTGTGTCTGTGAGTGTGTTAGTGTATGTATGTGATACACTATATAGAGTGTGCCTCTGTGTCTGTGTAGTGTTAGTGTGTGTATGTGGCATCCTGTATGGGGAGTGCCTCCGTGTGTCTGCGTGTCTGTGTGTCTCTGTGTGTGATGTGCGTGGGTGTGTACGTGCGTGTGTGTTGCTGGGCTCTGGAAGGCACACCCTGATTTTCAGGGCCCCTGTTGGGGTGTTCATGAACTCTCACTACTGCAGACGGGTGTTCTGGGAGGAGCCACATCCGGTGGCTGGGGGATCAGTGCCAGGGATGGAGCCCGGGGCTCCGGCATGCAAAGCCTGCGCTCCAGCCCTTTTGAAATGGAGGAACAGGCAAATGAGGAGCAGAACCCCCCCCACACACACACATACATACACACATACACACATACGCGCGCGCGCATACACACACACACACAGTGTTGTCATTCTCTCCCCGGCTTTCCCACCAATGTGTCTGCAGAAAGCGTGGCCTCCTTTTGACGGAAGTCGAAGGCAGAGCATCTGGTCATCCTGCCGTCTGCGGCTGTGAGCCTGGGGGGGATCTGAGGGGCCACCTGTCCTTCTCCAGCCCCTTCTCAGCACCCTGCCCACAGCCCCAGCACCGGGTGATGTGGTTTCTTAGACTTAGCGTCATGCCTTAATTACGCTGTCTCAGGGTAGGGACAGGGCTGAGAGGCAGAGCACATGCCTGACATGTGTGAGACATGTGTGAGACCCTGCATTTTTCTTTTTGTATGGATTTTTTGTTTCTTTTCTGGACCACACCTAACGGTGCTCAGGGTATACTCCTGGCTCTGTGCTCAAGGGTCACTTTGGACGGGGCTTGGGGACCCTGTGGGATGCTGGGAGTTGAACTGGGGTCCGCCACTTGCCAGGTAAGGGCTTTACCTGCGGTACTCCCGCTGCAGCCCCACAGACCCTGAGTTTGACCCTCAGCATCTCACGCCCCGCCAGAACAGCCAATGTGGCCCCTTCAGATGCAGACACCCTTGTCCTGTCATATGAGCGTCTGGGGGCTGGGGCGGGCATGACCCAAGCACCAGGACAGTCTCCTGAGTAGGGATCGCCAGCTAGATCACAGCCTCCAAGGCATTTCCAGGTGATGAGGGCCTCCCCAAGTGTGACGGGGCCCGGCCAAACACCTAAGGGGTCCCAGACCCTCCTGATAGCTTAGAACTCTGCAGGTGCAGGAAGATGCGGCTGATTCCGTCCTTAGATGGCTGGGTACCAGGGAGCAGCAGGCAGTCAGCTGGGAACAGAGGCCCCTGGGCACGGTCAGGGTCCTCAGAGCAGACGGCAGTGAGGGGTCACTGTTAGAAAGGACGGGGACACATCAGAGGCGGGCTGGTCCCGAGTGGTGGGACCAGCCACAGCCAGGAGCAAGGCGGAAGTGAGCACCAGCAAAGAGCCACAAGTCGAGGGAGCCCCTGGGACTGACCCATGGCGAGCCTGTCAGAAACTCCCTCCCAAGCCTGGCTGGAGCCCGGAGGTGTCTCTGACCCAACACTCCTCCCGCAGATCCAACCCTACGTGAACGGAGCCCTGTACAGCGTCCTCTCTGTCCCGTCCATCCGCGAGGAGGCCCGGGCCATGGTAAGACGGTGGCTCCTGGGGGAGGTCGGGGTGGGGGGTGAACCCTGACATCCCAGAGGGTCCCAGACTCAGTTCCGGAAGATCTCAGCAGGTTTATTTGGGGAAATGGTTTTTGTTTTTTATTTTATTTTATTTTTGTGTGTCACACCCGGCGATGCACAGGGGTCACTTCTGGCTCATGCACTCAGGAATCACTCCTGGCAGTACTTGGGGGACCCTATGGGATGCTGGGAATCGAACCCGGGCCAGCGACATGCAAGGCAAACGCCCTCCCCGCTGTGCTATTGCTCCAGCCCCTGGGGAAATGGTTTTTAAAATTCCAAGTGGCTCTTTTGTATTTGAGGTTTGGGGAACATTAGGAATTTGCAAAGCCCGGCAAGAAAATGATGGAGGGGGGCTGGTGAGCTATAGGATAGAAGGTTTGGCTCTCGCGTTGCTCACACCTAGCCTGGGTTCATTCCCCAGCACTCCACACCCCCACGGATCCCCACCTCCCGTCAGAAGCCAGGAGTAAGCCCTGAGCACTGCTGGTGTGGCCCAAACCCCAAACTTAGAAAAGAAAGCCAAGACTGTGATGGGGGAAGCATCAGCTAGCCAGGCCCCCTCCGACCCTGGCCTCCCCATCTGCGCCTGCGTCTGTCCCCCACTCTGGTGGGACAGCACGGAGAGGAGCTGGTGCCACTTTGGGGCGCTCGGCCAGCGCGAGCAGCGCACCCAGCGCTCCGTGGGTTTGCATCTGTGCACACTCGCAGCCTGGAACAAGCCCAGGTCATCAGCACCTTCTGTCAAGGTCACTGTCACTGTCCTCCTGTTGTTCATCGATAACGTCTCCATTGCAAGACTTGTAGTTACTGTGTTTGGCATATCGAATACGTCACGGGTAGCTTGCCAGGCTTTGCTGTGCGGGCGAGATACTCTTGGTAGCTTGCCAGGCTCTCCAAGAGGGGCGGGGGAATCGAACCCGGCTTGGCCGGGCTGGCTGTGCGCAAGGCCCTACCCGCTGTGCTATCTGTCGAGGTGACATACCATTTTTTTGGAGGGGAAGGGGTCACGCCTGGTGATACACAGAGGTTGCTCCTGGCTCTGCACTCAGGAATTACGCCTGGCAGTGCTCAGGGGACCATATGGGATGCTGGGGATCGAACCCGGGTGGGCCGCGTGCAAGGCAAATGCCCTTGAGGTGACACATCCTATCAGCACAACCGCCAGCATCTTTGCTCCTTTTCCCTCCAGTGTGTGGCGCAAGGGCGGTCGGTGTTGGTGTGCAGCAAATGCCATGGCAACACGCTCCGAGTCCTGTGGCCGAGACACACACACACACACACACACACACACACACACACACACACACAGAACATGTTCTTCCACCCGGTTTTGCTTAACTTAGAATCGCTAAATCTTCTAATTGCCCGTCTAGAATTACACCAACTGCTACACCAAAGATTTTTTAAAAAGCTTATTTCGGAATCTCTGTGGTCACCATAACAATGGAGCTTAATTGCTACTGCTTTTTCAGTGGAAACTCGACCGGGACGAGGGCTTGGCTCGGTCCTGCGTCATGGTCACTCAGGCGCGGGAGGGGAGAGTTACAAGGGTCACAGGGACGGGCCCGCCTCCCAGGCCACACTCACATGGACCTGAGTCTCGGGAGGAGAAGCAGAGGGGATACTGGGGGGCAGGGAGTGTGGAGAGGGAAAGAGGGAATGCCAGGGTCCTGGGGCAGGCCGGGGAAGGGACATCCCCGAGGCATGCAGGGACATGTGGCCCTGGGCCCCACCTACAGCCCACAGCGCGGTCCATCCCCCGCTACCCCCTAGCCCTGGCCTGTCCCCTTTCCTGCCTCCTCCGAGGACCCCTCCCTTGCCTTTGGGGTCCTCCAGCTTCCCCTGTGGAGGCCCCTCACGCGCTCCTCTGTGCCCACATCTGCCTTGTCCCAGTGCAGTGTGAGTCTTCTGGAAAGTTCTGCCCTCCCCCCTCTTGTCACAGCGTCCCTGGGAGTCCCTGGCTTCAGCTGCCAAACCTCTCCCCCGTCACCGCCCCCACGCAGGCACCAAAAAGCCCCAGTACAAAGAGCACTGACCAGGGGGCTGTCACCCCGCGGGTCTCCTAGGCCCTTCCTTTATGGGGTCAGGCACACCCAGAGGTGCTGGGGGCTCTGCCCAGGAGTGGCCTGCCCGGTGCTCTCTCAGCCCCTGCTGGATCTGTCCGTGAGCTCGTCTGAGCTTGAGCTATCCTCCTCCCTGGGGAGCTGCAGAAATATCATGGAGCAGCTACATAACTTGTCCAAGGCCATGAGTTAAATTCACGGCCGAGCTCGGATGACAGTCATGATTCCACTTCTCCTTGCTCTGCCTTAAGTGGTAGGAGTTCATCTTGTCCAAAACTGTCCAAAATTCAAATGTTTGGATATATTATCTTGTCTGAAAATTCAGATCCCTACCGGGGGAGCTCTGCGTCAGGGGACCCCTCCCGTAACCCTGGGGCCTCCCTACCTTCCTGTCTTCTCCTTTCCCTTCTCTTAGTGCCTGGAGAGATAGCACAGCGGGGAGGGCACTTGCCTTGCACACAGGCTGACCTGGGTTCAATCCCCTGCATCCCATGCCATCTCCTGAGCACCACCAGGCGTGATTCCTGAATGCAGAGCCGGGAGTGACCCCTGAGCACAGCTGGGCTTGGCCCAAGGCAAAGGCGCTACCCACTGTACTGTTGCTCCAGTCCCCACTTTTCACTTTTTGGAGATGACATTTAGCCCTAAAATCTAGAAGGCAGGGGCTGGAGCGATAGCACAGCGGGTAGGGCGTTCGCCTTGCAAGCGGCCGACCCGGGTTGGATTCCCAGCATCCCATATGGTCCCCTGAGCACCGCCAGGGGTAATTCCTGAGTGCAGAGCCAGGAGTAACCCCTGAGCATCGTCAGGTGTGACCCAAAAAGAAAAAAAAACTCTAGAAAACAATGTGTGAATTTAGGAAAAACAAGCAGAAAAATTTTATAGTTTTCCCCCCCCTAAAAAAAATTAAGTCAAATAATCAGTAATCAACCAAGAGGACAATTTCATGGGAAATTATAAAAGGAATGTTCATATGCAAATACAAAATTTTCTTTTTTTTTCTTTTTGAGTGACCCCCGGCAATGCACAGGGGTCACTCCTGGCTCATGCACTCAGGAATTACTCCTGGCAGTGCTCAGGGAACTATACGAAATGCTGGGAATCGAACCTGGGTTGGCCGTGTACAAGGCAAACGCCTTACCCGCTGAGCTATTGCTCCAGCCCCAAAAATTTTCTTATATTTACAAATCCCTATCCCCCAAAAAAGAGATTTTTTGATTCAGTGCCCCCCTCTTGCGAGGCCCCCTGGGCCCAGCCCCCACACTGACGGATTGCGTGTCCCCGGCCAGGGCATGGAGGACATCCTGCGTTGCTTCATCAAGGAGGGCAGCCCGGAGATGGTGCGCCAGATGGAGTTCATCCTCAGGCAGCTCGGCTCAGGTGCGTGCACGTCCCCTGGGCATCCACCCGGGGGCCCACCGCAGCGCCCGCGCCCAGCACGGGCCCTCCTTCCGGTGACCCGGCCCCGCGGAGTGGCCTCGGGTGCAACCCCTCATCCTGATCCCTGGAACCCACACCCCTGGGTCAGCCGCACAGGAAGGCGAGGGGCCCCGCCTGCCCCCGCCAGCCCCGCCCCTGCCCACTGCACCCCAGGGCTGTAACCCCACTCCCGTTGCTGCCAGGCGCCATATCTGGAGGAGACAAAAATGCCCACGCAGCCCCCTGGAAACTGCAGGGGCCGAGAGTGTTTGGGACGCCCAGGTGCCACCCCAGCCCCAGACAGCACAGACGTGGGGAGCAGCAGGGGGGGTCGGGGGGACCCTGAGCGCCAGGAGGGTTCAGCAGGGAAGCAGTCTCCCCTGCAGAAACAGGGGCCCCCTGCCCGTTTCTCATGGGACCCGCCCGTGCGGGATCAGAGCACCTTCGTCCCCGGCCTCCCGAAATGGAGCAAGCAGGCCGCAGGGTGCTCTTTCTTTGATAGGAAAACCGGGAAGGGGCTTGCTTGCACATGCTGCCTCGGGGTCCATCCCCGGCACCCCACAGGGTCCCCCAGGCCCTGTCAGGACTGAGCCCTGAGCACGTCGGCGGCAGCCCCAAACCCAAACCAAATTAAGTCGGAGGTAGAACCTGGGTCCTGGCAGAGCTGGGGACAGGGTGTGAGGGGTTCTGGGACAAGGTTCTCGCCTCTGGGCTCGCTGGCCTCAAGATTGTCTAGAGCCACCACCCCCGTGTCCCGTGTCCAAGCCCGGGCCCTTTCCCCAACCCCCCACAGGCCTGGCCAGGAAGTTCCCAAGGCGGGGTCCTTGGTTCCCTCCCATGCACGCCCGAGCTGCTCAGTAGCCCGAGGAGAGGGGCCCAGCTGTGGCCCCCCAGAGCTCTGAAAGTCACTGCACATCTGGAGGCCCCCCCACTTCCCGCTGCACCCCAGAGTCTAGGCACGGACAGCACCATCCCCACTCCCCCCAGCCAGGGCCCTGAGGCAGGGCCCAGGGGTGCGGACACAGCGAACAGCAGGGCATTGGCACCCCTCGCTCCTGCCCAGTGTCCCCAGAGACAGTGGCGGGGATGACACGGGGAGTTCTGGCCCCTCCCGCTTCATTAGGTCTCCGGCTGCGCGTCGCGTTTCGAGGGAGAGGCCCTCGGCCCAGCCTTTAGTCAATATTGATCATCCCTGGGCGTGAGCACCTCTGGTCCTGGAGAAACGTGGGGAGAGGTGATTGTTCTGTCCGGGAGCCAGGGTGGCCCCGAGGAGACTGTGACCCCCCGGCCGTGATGTCTTCCCCACACCACACCCCTCTCGCGCCCAGGACGTGGGTGGCCTGGTGGCTGTTGTACAGGTGCAGAAACAGCTCACTCTCCTGCGCCCTCCTGGGTGAACCCCCTCGCCCCCGTGCCAGGTCCTGTCCCCCAGCCTTTGAGGAGAACGCAGGGGGCTCAGAAGCGATTCAGCTTGACCCTGGGCCCTGTCACTCCCTGGGACGGTGGCCCCACCGGCCTTTGTCCCCCAGGTCTGTGGCAGGGGGAGTCGCCCGCAGATCTCCGAGGAGCAAGTGAAACGTACGAGACCCTGGCATAGCGTCTGGGCCTGACCCTAGTTCCTTTCTCCCGGACCCCTCTTCGGTTATGGGTTGGTTTCTCCGCATTCCTCCTATTGGCATAAACACCTCACGGTGGGAATGAGAGATTTATCCAAAGCCCAGCTCGGACACGGCCGAGAGCCCCGGGACAGGATGGATGGCTCAGCTGCTGGGCCGGGGTCCCCCGGGGTCACAGTCAGTCACTGATGTTTTTCTCCTTCAGAAGAGCCCCTGGACGGTGACGTTGAATCTGATGATGAAGAAGACGAAGATGAGGAAGTAAGTCAGAGGCCCCCAGCCAGGCCCGGTCTGAGTTTCTTTCTGGCTTTAATACTTCGTGCCGAGGAGCTGTGCAGACAGCGCAGGGTTAAGGGGCTGGCACGCGGCTGACCCCAGGTCAGCCCCTGGCACCACGTACAGTCCCCCGAGCCCCTCCAGGACCCCTGAGCCCCAAACAGCAAGCCAGACAATAGAGGTCTTTAGTCAGAAGCAGAGAAAGTCACCCCCACCTCCCTGTTCTCCCCATCTCTCTCGGGGGCGCTGGGTGACCACCCCATGGGGCTCCCCTACCTCACTGTGTGTATGGAGCCCGAACTTCCGGCTCTGTTGGCCGCTGAGCTCCCGGCAGGAACTTCCAGCCCTTCTCTGGGCTCAGCGGGCCCAGCTTGGTCAGCGGGTGGGGGGGGGGGTGGACGGACTGACTCCCCAGCAGGTCAGGATGGAGGATCTGCCTGGCCCCACCCGAAGGGCCCACAGCCCCATGCTCCTAGGGGGCACTGCGGCCAGTTCAGGGGTGCTCTGGGGTCTCCCAGCACCATAGTCCTTCACTGTGCTTTGTGCCTGGCCTGGGGCAGGGGCATTGGCTAGAGAGGCAGGTGGGGGTGGACACAGCAGCCCCTCCTCTGCCCCCTAGCCGGCCTCGCCCATGGCCCCTAGCTGTGAACAGCCACTGGGCAGTGGGCTCACCTGGTTTTCATTGTGTGTGTGTGTGTGTGTGTGTGTGTGTGTGTGTGTGTGTGTGTGTGTGTTTTGAGATCACACCTGACAGTTCTCAGGGGGCCCTCTGGGGTGCCGGACCTGCCGGGTGCAAGGGAGGGGTCTGGGGTCACTGGTTTTCAGAGGATGGGGATTCAGAAATCGTGTGGGTGTAGATAACGGACTTCCCTGAGCCCCCTCTCCCCCCACTGGCCTTCAATGGGTTTTTCGGATGATGACCTTTGCCCCCTTGCTGTAGAGACAGCGTCGGGGAAGGTGGGGGGGTGGGTGTGAGCAGCAGTGCGAATGTGGTATTGGGTTCGCGTCTTCCATGGAGGCTGGGGCTGGTGGAGCCATCACTCTGAAGCGCCTGGATCTGCCAGCTCAAAAGGTGTGTGACAGCATCCACCCGGGAGCGAGTCCCCTGCAGAGTCCCCTGCTGCGGGTCTGTGGGGAGCGGGCTGCGGGGGTGGGGGCGTCCCATTGCCTGGGCCTCAGCGCCTGCACTTCCCTCTGAGGCCTGTAGGTGTCACCAGAGGGCGCCCGTGCTCCGCGCCTGGCGGTCACTTTCTGCCCCTCCCAGCTCTTCCTTTCCAAGGTGGGTCCGGAGGCCAGGGGGGAGGTGCGGGGAGGGCCCCCGGTAGCGGGTCGGGGGAGACCAGCCCAAGGTCACACAGAGTTGACGGCAGCCGGGTGTGGTTTACAACGCGGATGTGCAGATAAAAGGGACTGAAAGGGAAGGTATTAAATGTCTTTGGTTTCGTGGTGGGCCGGTCCCCTGCACCCAGCTGGGCTGGGGGCGGGAGGTGCCCCCACCCCTGCAGCCCCCACTCTTCAGAAATGCACAACGGCCGTGCCCCCGGGACGCTGACACTGGGCTGCAGATCGTTTTTATGGCATAGATTTTTTTTTTAAATATTTTTAAATGGGGGACCAGAGACATGATGTGCAGGTTCTGGAGTTTGTCTTGCACGTGGCCAAGCCTCGTTCGGCCCCCTGCAGGCACCCCGGAGAGTGTACCTGAGCCCCACCAGGAGTGACCCCTGAACTGGGCCGGGTGTGGCCCCAACCACCAGGACAGTCACCTTGTGTCCCGTTTGGGAACATCTTGTATGCCTTGGAGTTTGGGGGTGGCTTTGTTGGTGGGTTCCTATTCTTGCTGTTCATCCCTTTGTTGTTTCACATTTCAAGGGGAAATGGGGAGTTCCAGCTGTTCTGGTTAATGATGGGAATTTAACTTTTGGAAATCCCTCCCTCCCCCCCCCCCCCAACCATGGAAGCCATTGTAATTCTAAAATGCTGGTGGGGAGCGGTTACTCTTCCCGGGGGTGGAGAACAGTCCTGGTGTTTCTCCTTGGGGTTCTTCCGTGGTCTCCTGGGTTTTTTTCCCTCCACAAGGGTCCGCAGACACTTGGAACTTTTCCCACACCAGGCCCTTCCTGTAATCCCTTCAAGCGGGTTCAGTTCTGACCCTGAGCGCCACCAAGAATGATTCCTGAGTGCAGAGCCAGGAGTGGCCCCAGAGTACCGCCAGGTGTGACCCCCCCCCCCCAAAAAAATTCTGGCCCTTTCTTCCAGCGGCAGCATCACAGCCCCCGTGCCGAGGGCTTCATTCCACAGACCTTCCCCTCATGCTCATCCCAAACCCATGTTGTCACCCACTTGTGACCAGCCGGCTGCAGGGGGCAGGGTTGGTGACCCTCCTGGGCAGTGATGGATTTGCCTGAGCAGCTCTTGGGGAAACATGCCGGTTTGTCCCAACAGGACGAGCAGGGGGCAGAGGGTGCCCACCCACAAGGGCAGAGCACGTGAGCGGAGCTGGGAGCACCAGCTCGTGCTCCAGGGATTTGGGGAAAGGACCCGGCGCAAGGGCGTGACTGACTGTCCCCTCTCAAGAGAACAGGGAGGAGGCGGCAAAGCCCACCCTTGGCATCAGGGTTCGCTCAGTGCCCAGCCCTGGCCCAGGAGTTACCGCATTCGAGCAGAGAACAATCATCATGTTCTTATCACCCAGGAAATGGCAGGTGTTAAAGGACTGTTCCCGGCATGGGCAGAGACCAGCGTCCAGACACATTTCCTGCCTTATCAGCCTCCCGAGCTGCCCGTTAGGCACCTGCTGCCCGGGCGGACTGGCAGCCACACAGCCTCTCAGCTTGTGCAACCCCGGGCGTCGGCACAGCCACGCCCCACCCACGAATGGTGGTTTCTCAGCGAGGAGGATTGCGCCTTTGTCTTGGCACAGATCACGAGATCTCAGCTATCCGCTAGACAAAGGCTTACACTTTGCCCTTTGCCAGCGTTTGTGCAGCTCTGGGCCACACCCGGCCCGCTCAGGACTTCCTCCCGGAGCTCAGGACTCGGTGATCACTCGTGGCAGTGCCCAGGGGGCCGTGTGTGATGCCGGGATCCAACCCAGGGCTGCGGCAGCGGCCACTCTGCACCCTTTCTCAGGCCCCTCCTGCAGACTTTCACTCTCAGAGGGGTGATGCAGGGACCAGTCAGGCACTTGCCTTGCTCACGGCCCATGTGACCCCCGGACCTCGCCAGGAGTGATCCCTGAGCGCAGAGTGGATATGATCCAAAAACAAAACTGGAAAAAAAAAAATTTTTTTTTTGGTGTAGTAATTAGAATTTCCAGAACATTCTAGAAGGGCTCTTGGTGGGAAAATGAGGAGGAAAGGGCTAAAGGGTCTGGTGTTTGTCCCGCCCTTCTCTCTTGGGTCAATGGTGGTGGAAAATTGGATTGGGGTCCTGCAAGGGGGCCCCCGTTCTCCCCTTGTACCTTTCCAGCTTCAGAGGGGAGCACGAGTGTGCCATGCTTAGTCTAAGGAAGGGTCATTTCTGAACACTGCCTGCACCGTCTGGCCGCTCTGCACGGTGCTCATGGCGAAAAGGGGAGACGGAAAAACAAGTTTGGGAGCCTTTGCCTCATCTGTCATCTCGCTCGCTGCAGAATATTTTCTTAATTAAACATTTAGGCCCAAGACAAAGAGAATGGAATCCCTGTTCGCAGTTGGCTGCTGACCGCCTGAGGATCGAGTGGCCACCCCAGGCCCCCTCCCCCCACCCCCAGCCAGCAGGGGCCTGAATGGACTGCCTGACCGTCGGGCCACCCGTCCCCCGCCCGGCCCCTGCCCTGCCCGCCCGCCTCCCCTTTCCCTCCTCTTTCATTTCTCCCGCCGTAATGACAAGTTCTGCCGGAGTAACGGCTGGGTCTGAAGAGACGTTATACTTAGACGCCCAAATTGCAGAATACAAAGGGTAGAGTTAGGCCTCCAGCCCCCGGACGCAGGAACTGGCAGGTGACACCAGCCGCGGGATTACACTTTGGGAAAAACAAGACGATAGGCCCCACGGCCCAAGGAGCGGGCCGTGTGGCCACGTCGCAGGAAGGTGTGGAAAATTCCAGCCTTGCTGTTGGCACCAGCGTCTCCCGCAGTGGGGGCTCAGGGTGCCAGAAGTCGGGTGAGGAGGAGCGCAGGGATGCAGCCCGGGTCCCCAGGGAGACATGAAGGCAGCAAGCCACGGTCCCTGGCCACCTTCACGCCCTTGTTTCCTGCAGGGAGAAACTAGAGCGGTTGGGGTAAGGGGGAGGGCCACGAGGGGGCAGCTGAGGACAGGAGGAAGTTTCCTGTGTCCCTTCCTAAACTCCCCTGCCCGCAGAACCCCTCGGGGGAAATGGGCCCTTCCTGCTGCCCCACTGTGTGCTGTGCCATCCTCAAGGCGAGCCCACCCCCGGCTGGCAAAGCAACCCGTGGCCAGTCCCAAGGCTTGAAAGCGGGGTGCAGCGTTGTCGCCCTGAGGTCTCGCGGTGAGGCAGCTCTGGTGCCCCAGGGCTCTGTGAGTGCGGACAGAGGTGCCCCTGGGCCCCAACCCGCTGCTCCCGACGCCCCTGGAGAGACCCGAGTTCTCACTTGGCAGCACAGGCTGGGGCTCCCTGCCGCTACCTGCAGCCCTCAGTCATCACTTCCCTTCCCTCCCGGTCTTCACAGCTTCTCCACCCCACCCTGGAGGGCACCGGGAGAGGAGAGGGCACAGAGCCAGGGAGGGGGTTCCACCCCCCGCCCAGTTCTGAGCCTCCTTGGGGTCCCCTCGAGGGTCCTCTGTCTGCTCGTCCTCGCAGAATCCTCCAGCCCAGGTGTCAGCCCATTTCCCAGGTGGGGAGACTGAGGGAATAATGCGTCACTGGCCAGCTTGCCTAAGAAGCAAGTGAGGGGTGGCAAACCCCGGATCCGGAGTGGCCGTCCATGTCCTCAGCCACTCCATGACTGTGGTCTCACGTTGTAAGACCATGCGCAGTTTTA